TGGAACTCAGGCTGCATTAAGAATCTAAAAGGTGAGAACCTCCAAGAGGGTGATGTGGGGTTGCTGGGGACTGAAGGACACAACCTCCCGCCCTTTCTTCCCTGCTTCTCCCCTTCCCCCAATTCCTTCCTTCCTCTCTTCTCTTATCCTTCGGAAGCAGGGAGGAGGGGGGGGCAGGAATGGCTTCTTGGGCAGGGGGTCAAACGCGGTTCCTTTTGCCCCGGAGGAGCTGGCTTCCCCTCTGCTGGGCTGGGAGAGGAGGTAATTAATGACAGGGAGGCCAGGAGGGGAGCGTGTTCAGGGCTAATGTTGGTATTAATCAGGAGCTGGTCCCCAGCGAGGGATAGCATTCAGCTGGGGCACTCCGTGTGTGTGTGTGTGTGTGTGTGTGTGTGTGTGTGTGTGTGTTGGGAAGTGGGGGGCTATGGAGGACCAGGAGCTCCTGACTCATGTCAGCCTCCCTTCCTCCTCATAGTGCTCCCCCCACCGTCCTTGCCCTTGTTTTTCTGAATGTCCCTCCTGCTATCTGTCCCCCAACCTCCTGCTGAGGCAGGGCCAAGATTCTTTCTCAAGTCCAAGTCCACCTGTAGGGGCGGGGGTGGGGCAGGCCACCCACCCACCCCTAAACCCTTCACCAGCCCTTACTGCGGGCAGGCGGGTGCATTAGGTGATTCCCGAGGCTGTCAGGCCTGCTAATTGCCTCTCAACCTTCCCCTCATCACCAGGGCGGCCCCCCACGAACTCCATTAGCCCCCCCCTCTCTCCCCTGATAGCCCCTAAATCAGCCCCAATTATTCACAGGAGGGGGGGCGTCTGGGCTGAGCTGTGATTACAGCTAGAGTGGAGGGGGTGAGGGCCAGGAGCTTGAGTGCCAGGCAGACTGGCAGGCAGTCTGCAGGCAGGGCTGGGAAAGGGAGCAGAGTGGGTGGGAGTCTTTGCGCAGATTCAGGCCGGAGACTACCCAGGGACAGGGACCTGGGAGCCTGAAATAGGGAGCGGGGGTCAGGCTGGAAGGCAGGCAACGGGGGTCATAGCTTGTATTTCAGCCCCCCCATTAATCCCCAGGAGGGTAAGGGAGGGGTCAGCGGGGCACACTCTCGATGAGCCGGTCATCCTCACCTTTGTCATCAGCATCACTGCCCAGCATTTATGACAAGGTTGGGCGGAGAGGCAGGAGAGCAAGAACACGCCATCCCTTCTCCTTCTGGGCTTTCCTGAGTGCACCTCAGGGGTCCTTTCGGTTCCTACCCCTGCTGTTGGCTGTGCGGGGCAGAGGCCGCTCCCTCCCCGCATGTGTGTGTGTGTGCCTGCGCACGCGTTTGTGTTCTGGAGCTCACCCCTGTGGGGCAGTGGCTGAGACAGGGAGTGGCGTGTGGGGTGTGCACAGACACCCAACCTGCTGAGGTGAGTTGTGTATCCAGGAGATGGTGAGACCAGCTCTGTGCTCAACCCCCAGCCACTCTTTCCAAGTGCGATCAGGGAGTCTTCTCCAGCCCTTTCCAACTCCTTCAAGGCTCTCCAATTCCTTCTGGGACTCCCCAGCAGCCTCTTCCCATCCTGGAGGGAAGAGGCGCCCTCACTCTGCCCCCTAGCGTCCCTCCGTTAGCAGTTGCTACTGTGCTCTGAGCGCAGCACTCCTCAGCACCTCCTCGGGTCCAGGCCATCACACTGCTCACCTGGATCAGTGCCGGAGCCTCCTCCCCAGTCTCCCTGCTTCCACCCATGCTCCCTACAGCCTATTCTCAACACGACAGTCATCCTTTAAAACTTGAGTTGGATTATGTCTCTCTTCCGTCCCAAATCCTCTAGCTGCTCCCCATCTCATGCAGAACAAACTCCAACAGCCTTACCGCAGCCTACAAGGTCCTGCAGATCTGACCCCCAGTACACCTCTGTCCTTAACACCTCCCACCGTGCTCCCTGTCATTCACTCGGTTCTAGTCTCCTCGCTAGTCTTTGACCACGGCATGTGCTCTGGCCTCCGGGCCTCTGTACTTGCCCTTCCCCTGCCTGGAATGCTCTTCCCCCAGAAATCTGTGTGGCTCTCTCTTTCACTTCACTTAGGGCTTCACCGGGAGGATACCTTTGCAGTGAGGCCTTCCCTGACTACCTTTCCCACAACTGCATACCCAGCGTTATCACTCTTCCCTGTGCTGTTTCTCTCTATTTTTTATGATTAGCGTGTATCATTGTCTAATGCGTCACAATTACTGATTCCATTTGCTTATCCTCTCTTCCCCAGCACTACTACTAGAACATAGGCTTCAATTTTCACCTTTCATATTTAGGCAGAGGCTTTTGTCTATTCTGTTCATAGCTTTAGCCCCTATGCCTGCACATAAGAGGTACTCATCTTTATTCATGAATGAATGAATAATTGACTCTTTCCCCAATTAGCATGTGAGCTCTTTGAAGGCAGGAGACTTTTACTTTTCCCCTAAATAAGTTATTAAATATAAAGGTCTTAAAAGAATGCCCAGTAATCAGTAGGGTTTGTAAGAAAAGTTGGTGGTTGCCATCAGCATCACCATGATGCCATTTCCTCTGCATCCTGGGCACCAGGTGTATGATAAGGCCACCCAAGATGGCTGTTCTTTTACTCTCGGTACATCCCCTGCTCAACCAGTCCCTGGTTCACCTACACCCTATTCATCTGACTGACCTTCCCTCTTAATCGTAGAGCCTAGTCAGTAAAAGCCTGCGTACTTGCTCCCAGCCCCAGCTAGGATGATTCTAATCTTTAGATCAGAACTATCACCACTGTGATAGTTTATCAAAGGGACAGGCCTGTCTGCTGGTTTCCCTGGTAACTGATGAGCCAACCTAACATAAGTTCCCTCTATGACTGGTAACCTCCCCACCCTCTCTGCTCCTAGTGAAGACTGCTAGGGTGTCTTGCCGAGGCCTGCTGTCCACCGTGGGGTGTTGCTCCAGGACCTTGCTTCAGATGTGTAAGACTCTCCATCTATTAAACCATGGATGTCTCTGCCCCTGACACTAGGCTCCTCTTTCTTTGGTCTCGAGGCTGGGCAAGTACAAGGCTTGTAGGCCTGAGGAGTGCAGCCCAACACCAGGTAAAAACAAACGAGAGCTGTTGAATAAAAGGATGAATGAGGAATTTCCAGGGAGGCAACCGGGGAACGTCCAACATTCTAGCTACAAGGCTGGGCCCAGGAGGCAGAGTTGGGGTCCAGCGACTTAGAAGAGCATTGCACAGGGGGGCAGCCATTCATTCCAACGTTTATTGAGCACTTACTTTGTGCCAGGCGCTGGGATCACGAAGATGATTTCAACCTGGCTCCAGTCCCTGAAGAACTGAGAGTCTAAAGAGAGAGAGGCAAGTTAAACTTTCATATGCAGGAGTATGAGGGGGAGGGAAAGGCAGAGGCTGGAAAGGCTGCCAGAGAAAGGGCACTTGAGCTGAATATGAAAGGATGAGATCAAGTAAACTGGGTGAAGGAGGGAGGAGCGCATGAACCACCGCTCTGGTCGTCAGTCTCCCCACTTGCCCCTTGCAGGTGACGGATCAGAGGCCTTTCAAGGCCTCTCTGGCCTCCGACATGCTGCAACTCTATGGTCTTTGGCCTCCGGACCATGGCTCTGTACTCTGGTTTCTGCTGCCCCCTGCTGGAGACTTTTGGTGACACCGGAGTCAGAAAAAGCAACGTCCAACCATCTCCTTTTTTTCCTTCCCCAAAGAGAGCGCACCATCCAATCCATGCCCTATCCCTTCACCTTCCACTTCTCCAAGCACCAAACTAAAAGTCGCTTGTCTCTCAGAGAATATTCTCAATACGTATTTTTGACAAAGGATTTTAAGCCAGAATACATAAAGAATTCAAAACTGTTCTAACCCAGCAATCCCTCTTCTAAGTAGCTACAAAGATAAATGAAAACATACACCCAAGAATGTTCATAGTAGCTTTATCACAGTAGCCTGAAACTGGAGAAAAAAACCCCCAACAGTGCCCATCAATTGGTGTAAAGACAAATTGTGATATCTCCATACAGTGGAAAAACAGTGATACAAGCAAGGAACTACCGAAAAGCCTTATGGTAACTGAGAGAAGCCAGACAAGCACATATTGTAGGTCCATTTATATGAAACTCAAGAACAAAAAACTACAGTGACAGAAAGCAGATCAGAGATTTCATAGGGCTGAGGTTAGGGTGTGAGGATGGAGTTGTGGGGTGGGCATTATCTGCAAAGGGACACAAGGCGAGTTTGGGACTTTTGAATTTTGAGTAAGGTGGTGGTTAGACAGATGGACACATTTGTCAAAACTCATCAAACTAAGACACAAAACTAAGTGAATAAGCCAGACACATATTGTAAAGACAAATATTTTATGATTCCATTTGTATGAGGTACCTAGAGTAGTCAAACTCAGAGGCAGAAAGTAGAATAGAGGTTATCAGGGCTTGGGGAGGAGGAATGGAGAGTTATAGTGTATTGGGTGCAGAGTTCCAGGTGGGGATGATGAAAAAGTTACAGAGTTGAATGGTGGTGATGGTTGCACAATATGAATGTACTTTATGCCACTGAACTATACATTTAAAATGATTAATACGGTAAAATTTGTTATATATATTTTACCATAATTGAAAAATCTAAAAAAAACCCTTATTGAACTGTACACTTTTAAGTGGGTACATTTTTTAATACTGTGGCAATTATACCTCGATAAATTTGAATTTTTAAAGTCACCAAGGAGGGATGTATTTGCATTGCTCTTTCTGAGCTATCATAGCTTTTTCTGTCGCGGGCAGTGACTTGCAGAGGGAGCCCAGAGATTAGACAGACCACAGACCTCAGTTCTAATCCTGCTTCTGCCACTTACTGGTGTCCTACTTCGGCGAAAATCACCATGTGAATAGAACCGATCTCGAGTTAAGGATTAAATGAAGCAAATCCCTAAAGGGCTAAAGATGATGAAATCAAATGATAGTTGTTATAAAAATTGCCTCTGTCCCCTCATAGACTGAGAAGTGACGGGTGCCCTCAGAAGGGTCGGGTACAGGTTGTCGACCTCCGGAGTGAAACATTCTCCCAGGTCGAATGTGCAGGCTGTGGGGAGGCGGGCGCTGGCCGCGAGGTGGCGCCCGGCTCGGGCTGGGTCAGCGCAGAGGCTGCGGCGCCGCGGTGCATCGAAGCGCCCGGGCTTAGGACCAATCCGGCGGGTAGAGGCGGAGGCTCCGTGGAACACTGCTTCCCAGGATCACACCCTCACTCAGTGTGCTTTTGGGCGGCTAGGGAAGTGGAGAGGCCTTTCCCAGGTCCGCCTCTCCCAGACAGGGATGCGGCCAGTCGGTCCTCGGGTTAGGTTTTTAATAAGATCACGGTTGTTGGGCCGCACTGGGAAGGTGCCCGATGCAGACGACCTCACTGCCCTCCACCACCCCACTTTGCAGATAGGAAAGCTGAGGCCTCAGAGGTGGAGTACCCCGAGGCCGCACAGCTGGTGAAGAACCGAGGAGGGACTTGGACCCGGGGCCCCTGCTCTTCTCCCCTGCTCACCCCTCTCTGCTCCCGGTCCAGGCTGCAGGGGTCGGTCCCGCCGCTCGGCCTCCCTGGTCCCACCCCTACATAGCTTCCCTCCCGGGCACTGTGGAGCTCCCCTCCCCCGGCTCCCGGTTTCCTTGTCAAAACTTCCTGCCTTGGCGAGGACCCGAGTTCCCACCCCCTTCCTGCCCCCCGCCCCTCCGCGCCCCTCCCCGCCCTGCGATCCACAACGTTCGGCCTCCCCGCCGCTCCCGCAGTCGGGCCAGGACTCCACACAGGGACCTCCGCCCTATCCTCCTCGGGCCAACCCCGGCGGTCCCCATCCCCGACGGACGAGAGATAGGCAGGTGAGTGACTGCGTGTCCCTGGTCCCGCGACCACTCTTCCCTGGGAAGGGCGTGCAGATTCTGAGGTCTCCTGGACAGGGAAACCCCTGGGTGGGGAGTGGTGAAAAAGAGAGCCCATCAGAGAGACATGAAGGGGATTGGGCAGTGGAGAGGGACCAAAGGGGATTGGGGGTTGACATCCATAATGAAACAGTATGTAAATGACATGCAAATGAGGTGGCTTCCCAGCCCCTAGTGTGGGACTTCATGCATCCAGCGGTAGCCACCACCCCACGGCCCCCTCTCAGGGCTGGAGAGAGAAGTGGGTACCAGACCCTCTAGTTGGCTGAAGGGATGCGGAGTGTGAAGAGCACCACAGCTGTACACCAGAAATTGATACAACATTGTAAACTGACTAGACTTCAATTTAAAAAAAAATCCCAGTAATAACTTTATATTGATTTCATGCTAAAATTGCATATTAAATATACTAGATTGCTTAAAATATTATTATCAAGATTAAAAAAAACCAGAGCATCCACATTGGAGTCAAGACTGCCCAGGTTCGAATCTCGACTCTTCCCCTTATAAACTGTAGGACCTTGGTCAAGAGACACCACCTCTGTGTCTCAGTCTCTTATTCCTAAAAGGGGAATAATAAGATATAGTGCCTACCTCATGGGGTTGTTGTGAGACTTAGATGAGCAAAAACATGTCTCCTGCTTGGAGTGGTGCCTGGTCAGTGTTCATTCTAGTGTTGCCCCTCTCCCCACCAGGAGAAACGTTTGAGAAGGATGTAGGGAAGGGACCCAGGCTTGCAGGTCCCCGGCACTCAGAGCTTCATAGCTTTGCTGGTTTTGAGGACTAGAAAGTTGGCCTAAGGTCTCAGGCATTTGGATCCTCAGAAAGCCCAGTGGGCTGATGCGTGTGACAGAGAGCGAGGATGTGGAGCCCCAGGAGCCCGGGCCCCAGTGCAGCCGTCCCTCACCCCACCCACCCCATCGCCAGCCTCCAGTAGTGGACTCTCAGCTGTCCTGTTCTGGCCTTTTATGAGTGGCCTCTCCCGGGGCTGGGTTGTGACCCCATTCCCCGGGGATGGGAACAGCTTGTGCTGGCCCGAGTTTCCCAGGCTCCCAGGCTTGGCTGCAGGCAGGATTGGGCAAAGGATCAGCTTTCAACCTTGGCTTAAGCTGGGCTTGGGGGGTCGGGGAGCAGGCTTCTGAATCCCACCCCATCCCAAGCCATGATATGTACCTGTGTGTGTGCACATGGGAGCCAGAATGTCGGGGCAGCTCTCCTCTCTCCACCATCTGTTCCCTGCTGCTGCCTCTTCCTCTTCTAAGGCTTCTCAGAGTCTCCCCACTATACTTGTCACTGCAGTGGGGGCTACCCTCCCTGCCACCTGGGAGCTGGGTCCACTGGTCTCTTTCTCTCTTCACCAGGAGGTGAAGCCAAGGGTTGACATCTGTTTCTCCACTACCCATTGCCTGCCCCCTGCCACAACATTCCCTATCAGACTTTCCCAGAAGAGGAAACCAGCTCTCCAGGCAGCCCCATCCACCGTTCGGAAACCTGGACAGAGATAGAGGTCGCTGGGCTGCTGTCTGCCTCCCCCACCAACACACACCACTGGAAAGGGGACTCGGGCCAGGTGGGGCTTCCCCGGTGGAGCTCTCCAAGCTTCTTCTTCCAGTAGCCTGGGGAGCCTTGACAGAGAGGTCTCCCAGGATGCACGAGGGGCCTCGGGGCCCATCCTAGCTCTGGGGAGGGTGTTGGTACCACTTCTGGCACCTAACCTATAGGGGAGAAGCCAGCAGGAGGAGCAAAAGACAAAGAAGAAGAGAGAGAAAGACAAAGACAGAGATGTAGAGAGACAGAAATATGGAAACAGAGACAGAGACCAACAGATGCAAAAACACAGGCAGTGGCATAGGGACTCCTGGAAACAATAAGGCCCAGAGGGAAACAAGAGACAGACTTGGAAAAACAGAGCAGAGAAACCCAGAGAAGGAACAAAGAGAGACCGAGTCCAAAGACCAAAGAGAAATCATAGGGTTAGAAGGACCCAAAGGGGGCAGCTCAGATTTTGGAGCTTGATGGACCTGGTCCAAATCCTGCTCAGCCGTTGGTTGGCTGTGTGACCTTGGGCAAATTACTTAACCTCTCTGGGATTTCTTCATCTACAAAACGGGCTGCATAATAGCACCTACTTTCTAGGGCTGCTGAGAGAATGAAAAGAAAGGACCCAGCTCACAATTTAACACGGGGTGGTCATTGGTACTACAGCACCCACACATGGCAAGATGCAGGTCTCTAGAAACAGCATGTGGGTGGGCATTGGGCCATGGAGTCCCTGTGCGCCCTCTCCTGCCTCTGCCTCCCCCCCCAACCTTGTGGCATCTGGTACCTAGTCCCTTTGTTTAGGAGGAGGTGTGTGGATGGATAGCGAGGGGCATAGTCCCCGGGCCAGACGGATCCGGATGTGAGGACACCCTCTTCTCCCCAGGTGACTCAATGCCTTGCACTCCTGAGCACTCAGCCCATAGGAACTCGGAGCCCAGCCCTGAGGAATTCCTGCCAGAGGTCAGGAGGGCAGGTCTGGAGCCGCCTTTCACTTTGTAACGTTGAAAAGTTCTTTCTGAACTCCACCTCCCGTCCACTTACCAATGTTGTGTCTTGAGGGCCCTAGAAAGAAGGCCTAGTCCTGCTGTCTGGTAAGCTGGGGACAAGGCACAGCCTCCAGACATTTCTCCCTCTCCCCTGTTCCCCACAAAGTAAGGATTGAAAGTTGGAAAGGATGTCAGGGATTATCAATCCATCCATTCCACACAATATTTAGTTACTGCCCGCTGGGTGCCAAGCACGTTGGGTGTGTGTGTGCAGGTGCCGGCCAGTGCTGGGGACACAGCAAGGCAGGCAGAAGAGTGACCTGACCCCACAGAGCTCCAAGAGCTCCAGTAGTGAAGACAGACCTTAATAAATACAAAGATAGTGGGATGGGAGCCGTGAGGGAACCCCCAGGGGGCAACCAGCCCACCACGAGAGCGTTGGATGGGAATGGAATTGGAGGCTGTCCCACGCTGCTGGGGAAACCAGACTCACAAGCTGGCAGGCAGTTACAGGGTGGGGTGCCCATTACCTCCTCAGTCCGTCAGACTTGAGGTGTTCCAGAGGCTGTGATCTCCTGGCTTGACCTGGGTTAGTCTCACCTTCCCCCAGAGGAGGGACACTGGTGTCTTCGGCTGGAATTTGGTTCTCTGGGGACTAATCCATGTCCAGTTTGGAGTTGGCCTCAGGGCAGAAATGGGGGAGAACAACCCAGGACTTCTTTAGGCGACAGTGACTGTGCTAAGAGCCTGGAGGGAGGCCTGAGGGCAGGGAGGGTGAGGTGTGGAGGTGGCTTCCTGGAAAAGGCCGGCCTGGAAGGATGGGTAGGACCTGGGCATTCCAGGAGCGGCCTCGGCCGAGGTGGCTGTGTGGTGGGAGGCATGTGAGGGCAGTGGGCTGTCCAGGGTGATGTGAGCACAGGAGCAGGAGCAGAGGCTGGACACCTGGACCCTGGGCGCCCTTTCCGGTGGTGTGGGGAGCCACAGAGGCATTAGAGAGAGGCAGTGGTCAGAGCAGAGCCTCACTTTCTGAGGGTATCTGGGGGTGGCGATGAGCAGGGGGAGCCGTAGGGGAGCCGTTTCCTGGCCTGTGTCACCCCAGGGGTTACTCCCCCACCCCACTGCTTTGTTCTCTGAAGCAGATTCTAATCGTGCTGTTGCCTGTGATGACCAGTTGGCCCTTGGGCAAGTCAGTTTACTTGAGATTCTCCGCGGCCTCTCCTGTGAAATGGGGATAACACTACAGTGACAGGTGGTGGTGAGGGTCGGTACTGGCTCCAGCCTCCAGTAGGCATGCGATGGATGTTTGATGAATCAGAATCCCTGCATTTTCCCTATTTCCTGATGAGTAAACAGGTCGGCTGAGGACCCTCTAGCTTCTGTTTCCGGAGCCACAGAGAACACAAGGCCGGCCCCTCACCCCTGCCCCCTTCCCGCCCAGCCGCTGGAGCTCACACAGGCTTCCTGTCCCTCCATCCGGCAGACATGCCTGGCGTGCCAAAGGCCTGGCTTGGCTGAACATAGGAGGGGCTCCGTGTGTGCATGTACGAGCGTGTACACATGTGGACTGAGTGGCGTGTGGAGCAGTCTAGGCTGCTGGCAGAGCTGGGCCAGAGGACATCCCTGTGTGTGTGTGTGTGTGGAGGGGGGTAGTCTTTGGACTGGGATCTCACTGCTGAGGGGGAAGGACTAAGTGATCATGTCTCCATGGCAAAGAGAGGTTATGAGAGGGCACAGAGAACAGACACAAAACACGGGGGAGATCCAGAAAGAAAAGAGAGCTACAGGGCGAGGCAATCTTGGCACCAAGCTAAGACACAGGGCCTGGTTTGTGGATCGTGGCTGGAGTTCAGCTTCCACTCCATACCAGAAGGTGGATCCCCTAGTGCAGTGAACGTACTGTACAACCGTACATGGTAGCCTTAATATAGAAAAGGAGGGAGAGAGGCAGATAGAGATCAACAAACTGATGGAGGAAGGAAAAAAAAAAGACAAAGCAGAGAGTTTCTGATGAAGAACAAGACAAAAGGCCAAAAGAAATAGGCAGAGAGTCTAGAACTCGGGGGATTCTATTTCTGCATCAGTACATGTCCACTGAGCAGCCTCTGGTCTGAGGTTCTGTTCCAGGATGGTCACTGGAACCAGCGGTTCCAACCCCAGTGAATCCTGGGAGATGTGGGGAGTTATTCTCCTATTTTACAGATGAGGAAATGGAGGCTCACTGGGCTCAAGTGAGATGCCTGAATGCATACAGCTTGTAAGGACTAGAAACTTTGGACTCCAAGATGGAAAGAGAAGAGAGACAGAGAGAGACAGAGGAGAGAGGAGGGGCCAGTGGAACCAAGCAAGGATCTGGAGTTGGTGCTCAGACTGAGAGCTAGGGGAAGCAGAATTCAGGCGTCCTGCCTCATCAACCGCCTTTGGCTTGAAGATGTACCTGGCGGGCAGCCCATCGTTCTGGGGGATCAAGTTCTCGAGGGAGCCGGGTCCCCTCCCCTCCCCACTTCCTTTCTCTCTGTCAGCATCTAAGGCCCCATTCCCATTCCCGGATCATCCTGGGGGTTCTTCAGGGAAAAAAAAAGAAAGAAAGAAACAGTATTTCCTGGAATTAATACTCAAAGGGTATGACGGTGTCAAGGGGAGTGGGGAAGGGGCCGAGCGGGGTGCAGGAGTGGGACTGAGGATGCTGTCATGGAGACAGCTGACGTTCACTGAGCTTATTACAAGGGTCTCTAAGCACTTTATCTGTATTTAACTCATTTGTTCATCTGCATACAACCCTATACAGGGAAGTACTATTACCATCCCCATTTTAGGGATGAGGGAACTGAGAACTGGGATTCACACCCAGGGGGTGGGAGGGGACACAGAGCTCAGAGGGTATCCTTTGCTACACCACCTCCCACAGAAGAGAGGCTGGAAGGGAGCTGGCAGGGAAGTCCCTCTTGCTGTGTCACTTCCCTTATCCCAACTCTTGCTCTCTGCCTTTGGTAGAAATGGACCATCTTCTGTCCACTAGGAGCTCTACTCCCCACCCAGAGGCCCCAGACTCATCTCCCTTCTCCTAGGAGGGGCTGGAGTGCAGGGTAGGGGGGCTCCCTACCAGAGGGAATCAGGCTGAACAGAAGAGCTGGGTTGGGCCCTGTGTGGGCTTGGAAGTGGAGAGGGCAGGGATGCTGGGGGCCGTGTAGGCGGGACTGGGGACTGACGGGGAGGGGTGGGGGTTTGCCTGGCCAGGAGCCCAGCTGCTTTGCATCTCGAGGTGGAGGAGAGAGAAGTGTCAGTTCATTCTTGACTGTAAACACATGCCGGTTCCCACGCCTCTGATCAAGTTCTTGCGGCGGCCCCCACCCCCATCCCCTTCTCCTGTCCAGCCCCCTGCCAGGCTCCCCTTTCCCCATAACTGAGGCTATTAAAAAGATGCAAAGCCCCTGGGATTCCCGCCTGGGCTCAGGCTTTTCCTGGAATCTCGGGAGGGCTCTGCTGGTCTGGGTTTGGATCCCAGCTCTGAGATCACTGGCTGTGTGGCCTTCAGCAGGGGACTTACCCTCCCCTTCTCTGTTTCCTCATCTGTAAAATGAATAATGATATATACCACAGTGCGTTGACATAAGCTTTACATGAGATGATCCATGTAAATCACTTAGCGCTCGGCCTGTGCCAGCCTCATAAATGATGCATGGGGTCAGGTGATTATTCTTATTGTGAGGGAAGGTGTGTGGGTCCCTCAGTCCAGAGATGCAGTGAGGAAGGGGGCTGAGCAGTGAAAAGAGAGGCGGCATCTGGATGGGAAGGAGGAGAAGCAAGCCTACAGTGGCCCCAGGGTTAGGTGGGAGGCCAGTTGTCTGATTTCAACTCTTGAAGGGGCCCTAATGCTGCTGGGGCTGGGGGTGCTGGGGAGGGTGGGCCAGGGCTTTGGGTTCCCTAGCCCCTCAGGAACAAAGGCTCTAATGGGAACAAGCCTGGGGAGCCAGGCTGGGGCTCCGAGCTCAGGGACCAAGTCTGGTCAGGCCAAACCCTGCCTCTCCCTGCCAGGTTCCCTATCTCCTCTGTCCCCTCCCTGTGGACCACCAACTGATCTCACCCACCCAACCCTGGCTTCCAGCCCCACCACTGACTAGCTGAGGACTCCTCTGCACTCCAGTCCTACCCTGAGGCCCTTTGGGAAAACAGAATCTCCCCACCCCGCTATTTATTAGAGTCAAGCCCCTTAGATTAGGGTCAGGGCCTCCTTGAGCTCCTTGCCCACCTCAAGATCCCTCTCAAAGCCCCTCTGTGAACCATTTCTTCTAGAATTTGGTTAAGAGGAGGTGGCTGGCGGGAGGGGGCTGATGCAGATGAGAGGCAGGACTTGCTTTGGCTGGCAGCCCCTCCCTGCTGTGCCTCACTCCAGGCTTTCCTGTTCCAGGTTTTGTTCACCTCACTGGAGCCTGGAGTTCTGGGGACAGATCCAGGCCAGCAGAAGCCTGGGGGTCCCTGAGTGGCTGGAGATGAGGTTCACCCAGGGACAAGGTGATGACCCTGGATTCAGACCAACTGAGATCCAATCTGAGGACAGGACCTCCATGCCAGGGCCACAGAGGGGGCTCCAGGAAGACGGGAGTGTGGACAAGACTGAGGGATGAAGAAGTGGAGATGTGTGGATGGCTCGGGCCTCGCTGCCCATGGCCCTGCTGCCAAGCACACTTGAGGGGAATGGGGAGGTCAGGTGGGACCAAACAGGGCGAACCCTGGAGGTGGTCACTGGGCCTGGGAAGGTGGCCAGAGCAGGGCTGGGGCAGAAAGCATAGTTTTGGGACATTGGGAGAAAGAGCCAACTCTGTCGGGAAGGGGGATGGGGGACGTGCGGGGGATGCCGTGGAGGTGGTGTGCTGGGACAGACCGTGGGGATCATCCTGAGGACACTCCTGACTGTGGCCTGGCTCCCTGGGGACAGGCTGGGTTCCTCCCTCACCCCCTCAGGGTGAGCCGCAGTGCTCAGCTCAGGAGCCAAACCACAGGAAAGAGGGTTCTGACCCTTCCCCGCTCACCCTCCTACCTTCTGTGTTCAGGGGTGGGTGGGAAGATGAAGCCCCCCCAGGCCCCCCGCTACCCTCCCCGCGTACACAATCTAGCCAGGCTCTATTTCCTGTTTTCAGGCTCCATATCCTGAGACCTGGGATCCCCCAGGACACTCTCTGACCCGTCCAGGCCCTGGGGCCCTTCCCTCAGCTCACCTGAGTTTCTCAGGCTCCAGGATGCCGTAGAGACCTGGTGAGTTACCTGGAGACGGAGGATGGATGGGAGGATCACAAGACTATAGGTGGAGATTTGTCCCAGAATCTAGGCAGCCATCACTGCTTTGCAAGCCTGGAGAGGGGTGGGTTGAAGCTTGCAGTGGGTGGGAGGGACCCTGGGAAGGAGAGGTGGGCCAGCCCAGCACTCAGAGGGTGGTGAGCAGACTGCTGGAGGGTCTACTGGGGGGACACAACGCTGGGGGGATGGGTTTAAATTAGGGAGCATCCCTCTGAGCACTGCCCCTAGGGGATCTGAGAGCGGCCACGGGGACCCTGGGAGTGTGTGGGTGGGGCCTGGGGTGGGGCCCGGCAGCAGGCATTCCAGAGATACTCAGGGGGGTAGGGGGCCAAGTACCACGACCTTTCTCTCTTCCCTGGGAAAATTACAAGCAGATGTAGGCGCCTCAGGGAGGCATAGAGGAGGGAGCCAGGGCGAGTTTTAGGAACACAGAACAGAGAATCTGAAACCGGCCGCGGGGGCGGGCACTGGAGGGGCTCAGCTGCTCCTGAGCTCAGGAGCCAGAACAGACTTCTCTGAGGTCCTGACCTGCCTCCCACCCACAGGGTGAGGCCAGGGATGGAGGAGGGGGGAGGGGCCCATTTCCAGATGGCTGGTGGGTGGTCAGAAGGAGGTGGGGGCTTCTCCTTAAGCCTGAGGCCAGATTGGGGAGCTCCTGGCGATGGCGCCTAGAACTGAGTGCAGTGGTGTGCTGGCAAGTCTTTAACGAGCGGCTTTGATGGTGGTGGCGGTGGGGTGCCTCTGGTTTGTAGTGTTTGCCGATTTCCACGGTGTAAATAATATCCCCACGCTTGGTTTCAAGCTACTGATGTGACAACACTGAATAAGGAGTAGGTAACAGAAGTCACGACTGGCTCTTGGGAGTCAGTACGAGCTGTTTCAGGGCGCATGGTTGGGAAGGATTTGCTTTGCGCTGGCAGCCCTTCCTTCAAGGCCACCTGGACCCAGCCCTACACCCACCCCATAGAGTAGGAAGCCCCAGCTGCATCAGGGTGGTTTGGGCCTCCGCCTGCATACATCCAGTGATAGGGAGCTCACTCCGCTCCCACCCACCGAGGTTGCTGATTTCATTACAGGACTGCTTTGACTGTTAGAGAGTTCTTCCTCTAACTGAGCCCAAGTCAGCTTCCCTCGTAACTTCCCGTCAAGGGCTCCACTTTCACACCTTGGTATAATACCAAAGGGCCCTGGGGTAGGGGCTGGGCTGGGAGCTGGAGATTCATGCATAGGTCTCTATGGGACATGGTCAGGGAACAAGCACAGAAGAGTGGTATGTGGATGACTGCTGCTGGGGGTCCCAGAAAGGATGGGTGGGGGCAGTCTGCCAATGGGGGTTGGGGAGCAGGGCAGGGAAGGACGGGGACACTTGAGCTAGACCTTGAGAGGAGAGTACTCAAGGTGAAGAATTGGTGAGGACGGCTAGATGGAGGAAACAGCGTGAAAAAGCCTCAGGGGCATGGCCATGTACCATCTTGCTGGGGAGAAGACCTGGAGCCAGGGAGCATGGGCCAGAGGACCAGAGACAGCAGCCTCATCTCTTCTGCCACCCCTGCCCTGTCTCTGCAGAGATTTGGTCTTCCAGGTTTGTGGCTGCAGTGCCCTTCACCTGCCCTGCACCCTGCCCTGTCACAGGCCTCCGCAATGTCACCACGTCTGTGCTCCCTCCTTTTCCTGGCCCTGGGCCTGGGGCTGGCTGGAACCCTCAACCCCAAGGACCCCAACACCTGTAGTGTCTGGGAAAGGTGAGAGAGAGCTCCAAGCCCTCAGCTCCCCATCCTCCCCACCGGGGCTCCTCTTCCCGGTTCCCTCCCTTGCCTCTCTCCCTCTCCAGCCCTCGCCTCCCTCCTACTTCTGCTTCTACTCTCTCTGCTCCCTTCCTTGGGCTGCCTCTGACTCCATCCCCATTTCTGGCCTTGTCTCAGTCTTCAACCCACTCTGACCTTGTCCTTTCTTTACCACCGTCCCTTGGTCCTTGCTGCAGGACCAAGCACAGGGTAGGATCCATTCACTGTGGAGCAAGCAGAGGGGCTGGCCCAGGGAAAGCAAGGGGGACAGGGTGGAGGAACAGAGCTCAGGGCAAAATTTGGTCACAGGTGCTTTAACCCATCTCCATCAGTTGGGTCCAGAAATCAGTTCTAGCTTAGTCTCCCCTTATAGGAATGAGGAGGGCAGGTAGTAGATGGAAGGCTGTGGTCCCACATGGTGAAAAAGAGGCTCTGATGGGGGGTGTCCCAGGAATATTACAACTCTGAGAGGATCCCTCCAGATTGAAGGAGGACAGGATGGGGGTCTATCCTAGGCTTGGGGAGCAAGCCTAAATATTCCCTTCTGTGGCCAAGCCCTCATGCCCCTACTTTTGCCAGCTCCGGCTTCTCGCTGCTCTGGTCCCCTGACCCTGTTCCCTGTCTTACAGCTTCACCACCACCACCAAGGAGTCTCACTTGCGCCCCTTCAGCCTGCTCCCCTCCGAGCCCTGCGACCGACCCTGGGAGAACCCACACATCTGTCCCCAGCCCACGTGAGTGCCCAGCCCTCTCCTTGGGCGGACGGGCTCCTTAGGTAGCTGCCTTGGCCAAGGCCCTGGCCCTCTGTACCCTCGTCCTTTTCTTAGAAACTTTACAGTTTAGAAGAAGCATCCGATCTCGAGGTACTCAAGGCATGGGTGTGTGCGTCCGGGTGTGTTTTGGGGGGTGTGGGCGTGGTGTATGGTGTGTATGTGTGTGGCTGGGTGGAGGGCAAGGAGGGAACGTTCTTTCTAGGCTCCCCCAGCCCAGAGTGTCGGGCAGGGCCCCAGGCCTCCCCTAGGGCCACACTGTGGGCAGGGGGGAAGCCGGGGGCCTCAGCAGGGAGGACGGAGGGCCACCTTCCAGGTCTCCCCCAGGGTTGTCTACCGGACCGTGTACCGCCAGGTGGTGAAGATGGAGCACCGAAGGCGCCGGCAGTGCTGCCGGGGATTCTATGAGAGCAGCAGCGGGGCCTGTGTCCGTGAGTCCCGGGCAGGGCCAGGGGGCGGGGCGGGG